TATATATATATATTGTTGTTGTTTTTATTTTCGTTTTAACACCACCTAAATCAGTAGGTCTGTGAAAAATGGCTTCACATCAATTATATCTTATGTAAATGTGCATTTTGTTACTATTGAATATTGAATCATATTTTTTTATTATATTTCTCTACAGATTATACCACAAGCTTTTTCAGAAAGCATGTGCTGAACCTGCAGGTGAGACAATTCTGGTAAACCTGGAGTGTGTATGTGTATATATATATATAGATAGATAGATAGATCAGACAATGTGCAAATGGAAGGCTATGAAAATAAATATAGTGAATGTAGCTGTGTAGGCTAGGTTATAGCCTACATGAAGGGTTAAAATGTAAATATTACTGTTACAGGAACAGAGATAGAAGACTCAGAGGTAACTGTTCTTATACAGGGCTTGATGAGATCTTACTGCTCTTATAAAAAATATTTTATAATTACTATATTTTATAAATGTGGAACAACAGATGTATAAAACACGTCTAACAACAAATGTTTTAGCATAATGTATATTTTATTTTAGTCAGAAATACTGCCCTGTGCCCTCATATTTGCGCTCAGCCTGTTTGATGTGCATGCACATGCTCCTTTAGCCAGGTCTATGAAGTTTAGCAGAGACTAGCTCGCTGTCAGGACAAGCCTTAATCCATCCATTCTCCAAGCCACTATCCTCTTTGCATCCTTTAAGCAAAAATGAAAATACTCACATGACATTCTAACATTTACAGATGAGAATATCTAAGTTATGAATAAAATGTCAATGAAATGTAAGGGTAAGGCACTTTAAACTATATGCTCATGAAGCATTATTGAAGGGCTTAAAATAAAGCATGTCTCATATTTAGGACCATTTGGATATTGCACTTTCCCTGCAACAGCTCACTCTGCGTACTCGCTATTTTTCAAATGTGCTTGCAACATCACACCACTCTATATTCTTATAAACAGTTGTCTTGTGTTTATGAAAAGATGTCGATATATCTTACAAAGTAAATATACCACCCAGCCCACCTTTTTGCTTAATTGTAACTCTCTGTTACACAAAAAATAGTGTGCATATACAGGATGTTTACTTTAAATTGAAAAAGTGTTATATATTCAACATTTATGCCTATTTTTATTTAAATTAAATTGCACCCAAATCCCGAAAACTGTTGTTTAATTCCAGTTTTTTTTTCTTGTGCAATATATGGGTGTCTGTTCAGGGAAGGACATTTCAGACGAGCTTTTTAAACCCTTAGAGTTGGAACAATCATGGGAGACAGCGGCAATGACAGGTAAATAAGAACATATTTCATGCACCTGCTGAAATAAAACAAGACTACATAAATAATAGTTGTCTATGAAGAGATATTATAGAAAAGATTTCACATTGTTCTTTCTCTAAAACAAGCAGAAGGACACACCGCATGCATTGAAGATGGAGTGTCTGTTGATGCTGTGCCAATCATCACTACAGGTGAAGCAACTTTGGTCACTTTGTGAGATGCAGTTCACATATAGTATGTAGATATGAAACAGACCAGTCAAAATGTGCTTATTGTGGTCTTGTGACTCTGTATGTGAGCTGTCTCTCAGTTTTTCTGAGATACATATTTAATATGGAAGCAGACATTTTGTTAAGTGATTATTACATGGGATTATTACATGGGCTATTACAGTCTTTCTGTTGTTAAGCAGAGCATTTCACAGAAGACAATGAGCCAGGCCCAAGTACGTCATTTAAGCATCTTACATTATTAATCTCACATTAATCAGACTAAAACTGTTAACAGTCAACACAGTCATTAGCATTGTATCTATCTGTTTAGGTGCAGCTGAAGAGGTTGTTGGGTCTTTAGATGGACAGCTTGAGGAGATTTTTGGGATGCTGAAAAAGAAGCTGAATGAGGATGCAAGTTTTACACCGCCTATAAGAGCTTTTGTGTCCAGTTTCTTTCAGATAAAGACTGACAGTGCCCTTCAGGCATCACTCTTTTCCTTTGGTAAGACCACTCCGATAATCAATCAGATCAATGTACTACCAGCTACAGGTCCATGGAGAAGAGGGGCTTTGGCTGGACGAAGAGCTGTTGGCAGACCTCCAAAGAACTCAAGAAGAGAGCACCCATACTGCAACAGCAGATCCAACAACAATCCCCAAACTCTCACATTCTGTTTGCAAGACAATAACACCCTTGAGAAGACAGACTAACCTCCTGTCCCCAACACCTCCGCCACCAGCATGTGGTGGGTTAAGAGATCCAAACACTATATAGAAGCTATTAAATCAATAAGCCTTGAGAAGCTTGGCATGGACATCATGAAACCTGAGCATTACAAGAAATCAAAGAGAAAACATTGTTTGTAATTTTGATCATAATGTAATAAACTGGCTCCATTCAGGTATGAAACACCCACTTTTCACCATGCAGTCAATTTACTGAATAAAAATTAAGTTCCACCCTTCATTTTTCCCCTATTCATTGAATGTTCTGTTTCAGTTTGTATTGTCATATTATGACTTTATATAATAATTGCACCTATGCTGGCCACCATATATTTCAAGGTGTCCAGACACCTGTAACTGTTACTTTTTAACAACCCTATACAAACAGAAAATGTGTTTTTGATGTCTTCGTTGTCCAAACCCATGTAATGTGAATGAGCATTACTGCTTTTATGTCATATTTACATTTAGCAGATGCTTTTATCCAAAGCGACTTACAAACGAGGACAATAGAAGCAATCAAAAACTAACAAAAGAGCAACAATATGTAAGTGCAAATGAGAAGTCTCGGTTAGCCTAACGCAGTACACGTAGCAAGGTATTATTTGTTTTACTTGTTGCATCTTTCCCAAAAAGACTCATGGCTGTATTAGATCAAAAGGGTGCTTCTACTAAATACTGAGCAAAGGGTCTGAATACTTAGGACCATGTGCTATTTCAGTTTTTCTTTTTTAATAAATCTGCAACAATGTCAACAATTCTGTGTTTTTCTGTCAATATGGGGTGCTGTGTGTACATTAATGAGGAAAAAAAATTAACTTAAATGATTTTAGCAAATGGCTGCAATAAAACAGTGAAGAGTGAAAAATTTAAGGGGGTCTGAATACTTTCCGTACCCACTGTATATTTATATACACACATACACACACAAAGAAAAACAAGTAGATAAAATAGTTTTTTTTTTAAAAAGATAAGTAGAATTAGAATAGAAAGTGCTAGAGTTAGAGGTTCAAATAAAGATGGAAGAGATGTGTTTTTAGTCGTTTCTTGAAGATGGCTAAAGACTCAGCTGCTCACATTGTCATATATGTCTTGTCAACCAAGTTTATTTATATCCAATATTGCATCAGGGCTCTGTGGTGGCCATTTTAATGTGGTTTAAATTTTGGCAAAATGTAAAAAAATATGTGCAAATTCATGGCTTTTCAGTGTAGTTGTGCTTTGTAAGCAATGTACAAGTAGTGTGTGCTACTTTCATTGGAAGACACATTAAAATCCTGTTCGAAATATAATTATAGATACTGGCCTTTGTAAAGTACATTTAACAATAAATGCAGTTATATTGCACTGCTGCCATGCATCTTTAAATGTAGTTATCACAAAATAATATTTTGAAAATTCATTAAAAGCAGGACACCATCAAGGGAACCTTTAACATTTTATGAATTAGAATGCATTAACCCTAATCTGGCATCCTGTCTAAGAATAGTTTCTTATAGTGATTTTAAATGATTTTTTTGTTGTTCACAGGAAAGGTGGATTATCCAAGAAAGCCATGCAGTTTATAATGTGAAGGTTATTTCAAATGGAAATCCATTTCACATTTTAGCAACTGTTCCAACAAACCATCAAGTCAAAATCTTTAATTAGTTTATTTCATAGATGCCGAACCCCAGCAGATTGAAAAGGTTATACAAAACAGCCCAGCACTTGCATAGTTAAAAAAAGGCTTTACACAATATTGATAGAATATCTTAAATTCCCTGGTTTATTTGATTTTACTGAAAGCTGCGTTGTGATGCATTAAGGCTGTGCAGCTGAAAGCTTCTGTCTCGCAGTCCAGTCATATCTTTCCTGGGTCCTCCTTGAGCATAACGGTTCTGTTGAACACCAGCTGGGGAGAAAACAGTGACAAAGATGAAGCATTGCTTTCCTCCACTGTATGTTTTGTACATCTATTTAATATATTTTAATGTAATTGAGTGTTTCTGGAAGTACCTTTTCAGATGTGCTGTCAGGGTCAACAGAAAAATAACCCACTCTCTCAAACTGAAACTTATCAAACACTTTGGCCTTGCCCACAGAACGGTCTACTGAGGCACTTTCGATCACTGTTATGGAATACTAAGAATGACAAAAAAGGAAAAACGGATTAGTGAAACTATCAAACCTTTTAAAAAGTTACAACTGAAAAGAGGAAAATCTATATTATTAGATTCAGTTTCTGCAGTTGCTTGCTTTAGTTTAAAATGGCATAAATTCATTAGTTTGTGGTGGTTAGGTATTCACTACTACCACTACTCATATACTTAGGGTTAGAAGTTTTTCAAATTCTTAGATCAAACATTTTATATAATTTCTTCCCTTACAGGGTTAATGTCACGCAGGAATCCAGCAGGAACTTCAGCTGGGTCCTCTGGGTTTTTATGGAGAAACCTACAGACAGAGAGAGAGTGAGGATGTGACACTATGTGACATCATAAAACATTCAAAGTAGATTCTGGGGTTTGTCAGCACACATGGAGACTTACAGTCTTTCATACAGGCGCACCTCACACTGCAGTGGATCGCTCACCCATTGAATGAACGCTTTGGGTTTTTCTACAGAGTCTGAGCTGGCACATGACACCTCTAGCTCACACACATTACCACAGCCATCCTGACAAAAAAGGAAGATATTAAATAATACTGTAACTTATAATGCATTATTCAACAGTTATTTCCAAGTTGATCCTTAATTTTGTCTGAACAAAAAGAGTGCTGAAGTACAATCACTGTTTGTGTCACTCCACCTGCCTGTATTTGCACTCTAAATCACTGATTTAGTGGTGGGAAGTTTTCAGTGACCCTTTTATCGTAACACCAGTTGGTGGTGACAAGTGAATACATTATAAGTTAGTCACTGATTCATTAACTCACCTGATTTGTTCTAACACACAGAGTTAATCAGGAATTACACAATTAAATGAGAGATTAATAAAATGTCATAATATATACACTTGCTAAGTTTCACCTTGAAATGTAAACTGTCACTTCTCACTCATAATTAGGAAGGTGCGCTCTAGCCTCAATTATGTTTTGAATGGTGCATCAACTTGTGAAATGAAAGGGTAATAACAAATTAAACAAATGGCTATTGCATTGACTTGTCTGTATCAGTCAATGTTTGTTATTTGCCTTCATAAGCAGACTCTAAATCCACAACATACTCATTTTGCATTCACACGGTGTAGGAATTACAGTAATTAAGCTCTTAACTGGTAAAAACTATTTTTTTAAAGGCATATTAAATGTCTAATCAGCTGAACCCAGTAGATCATGTGAACTACAGGAAAGTGAGTGGTCTTTCACCTTGATGACACGCTGCACAGAGATGACGTATCCCGCATGTCTCAAGCCTACTGGCTGATCTGGAGTCAGGCGCTTATAGCCCTTCTCCATCACCTGCAGCAAATACACATAAAACAGCAAAAATAGGGTCAATTCTGCTTATATGGGACGCTAATCCACGTATAAATTTTAAAAAAGGGGAAAACAATCTTAAAAAGAAAAAACCTCTCTGAAGTCACTCTGCTCAATAAAGATGGTCTTTGAGAAGGGAACCACGTGACTGCCCTTGGCTTCATTGGCTGGGAAGTCTGGGACTCGAACCTCCTTCTGAATAGAGGAGAAACAAAGCAGTGATCCACTGCAGTTACGAAAGTATGCTTATGCATCCATCTACATATCCTAAATTATATTTTACTGTTGTCCATAGCAACATGTCATTGTCTTTGTTTTACCTACAGTAAATGACCTCAGAGGTACAGTATTATTTTTAATAGTGAGCATAAATCTATAAAAAGCAAGAAAGCGCTGGATGAAGGAAAACTGAAATGATAATACTAAATACTAACTAATTCATAGAAAAAGCAACAAATTATTATATATAAACAAATACTGTAACATTGTTGCAGAGTTTGTCTTTTTTGCAAAGGAGATTGTTTTCCATGTTGTAATAGACTATTTTTTAACATAAGCTTTTAGCTAAACGAGTTAGATTTAAGCTCATTAAATTCAATTACATTTACTCACTAAAATATTTAATTTTCACCTGTTTATTTATTTGATAAGTAGCCACTTAATAAGCAGAACTTCAGTCAGTCATTACAGCAAAACTGCAGGTTGCTGAAATGTTGGGTTTTATTTTTGCAATAATGACTGGCTATCTGTATAGTATTACATGTAATGAACTTCTGCATGTGTTCACCTGTGCATTGGTTGGCAGGTTGGTGATGGTGACTTTGAGAGGCTCAAGTACAGCCATGACACGTGGAGCGGTGTCATTAAGCACCTCCCTAACACACGCCTCCAACAGGTGCGGCTCCATGGTGGTCTGAGCAACAGTCACACCCACCTAAAGCAGAACAACAGATGCTGACAAAGGGTAACAGTTTCTAATAAACAAGTCTTTTAATGGCTAAGATTTCATTTCATGGACCTTGCGAACTTTGACAACTCCAGCTATTAGATCAGTGGTTCTCAACTTTTACTCCAAGGTCCCCCACTATCCAACTCGGGCATATTCACAGGTGCTCCATATAGGTTACGATATTTCTGCTTATTTCTGTTATACTAAAGCAGTTTTTTTTTTTTTTTACAGAAATTAGGAGTTGCAATATACAATAGTTCTACATAGTCAAAATAAAAATAATTTCCATAAATCCAGAAGTTTTAAGAGCTGAATGGCCCATACTTTTCCAGCTGTTCATGATTGTGGGATAAGATTTTTTAAAGTCACATTTTACTTGCAAATAGCCATTTCAAAATTATATATATATATAATTATTATTATTTTTTTTAAGGAATGAATTAAATTAAGGAATATGATGTCAGTTTATATCCATTTACAACTTATTTCAAATGAGCTAAAGTGTGGCAGGTTGGTGATGGTGACTTTGAGAGGCTCAAGTACAGCCATGACACGTGGAGCGGTGTCATTAAGCACCTCCCTAACACACGCCTCCAACAGGTGCGGCTCCATGGTGGTCTGAGCAACAGTCACACCCACCTAAAGCAGAACAACAGATGCTGACAAAGGGTAACAGTTTCTAATAAACAAGTCTTTTAATGGCTAAGATTTCATTTCATGGACCTTGCGAACTTTGACAACTCCAGCTATTAGATCAGTGGTTCTCAACTTTTACTCCAAGGTCCCCCACTATCCAACTCGGGCATATTCACAGGTGCTCCATATAGGTTACGATATTTCTGCTTATTTCTGTTATACTAAAGCAGTTTTTTTTTTTTTTTACAGAAATTAGGAGTTGCAATATACAATAGTTCTACATAGTCAAAATAAAAATAATTTCCATAAATCCAGAAGTTTTAAGAGCTGAATGGCCAATTCT